CAGGGAAACACCCCAGGCCTCTGTTGTGGATGGAGGGATTACAGGACAGCAAAGCAGAACTAACATCAAAAAACCTAGCTTTAGTGCAACACACAGAATAGGAAAGAGAAGGGAAAAAAAAAGAAAAAAAAAAAAAAAAAATCAGTGTCCCTACTGCAGGCATCTCTCAAGAACAAAGCTGCCCCAAAGTCCTTTCTCTCATGACTCATGCTTGAGTCCCCATCTTCGGTCCCCACTGGTCACTCACCTTGTTGGTTTTGACAGCAGGATCCTTGGAAATGACGCCAGTTCCGCTACAAGGAGCATCAAGCAAGACACGGTCGAACCCTCCAAGCACCTACAGGCAGATGTACGTTTGGAATTATGCTCACAGGTGGGGACTCTGAACAAGACCAAGACTAGAAGGGGAACCAGAAGACTGGGAAGGCAGGAAAGATCCCTCACGCCTTCCTGTCCACCTTCCTGTTTCAGTTTCAAGTAACAAACACACTCCCCAGCAGCTCTGCTCATCCTCCTGTGACAAGTGGCTTTGGAGAACATGGCTGTACTAAAGGGGCAGCAGGACAGCACAGCAGCTCTAGGTAAGCACGGTAAGGACGCCCCAAAGCAGGCAGGAGCTTACCTTGGGGAACTGGCGTCCATCGCAGTTACTCACTACAGCATTGGTGACGCCCAGCCGATGCAAGTTCCCTACCACGCTGTGTAGCCGCTCAGCATTGCTGTCGTTGGCCAAGATCATACCCGTGTTCTTCATAAGCTGAGCTGCCAGAGGATGAAACACATCAGGAAACGGCTGAAAACCGCCAGTGCTTTTGCCCATAGGGACAGCCACCCCCCTCCTTTCACCAAATTCAGTCCCCTTTCTCTGTTCCCCCTTTTTGTATAGACCAGTGGAAATGCATCACTTCACACAGCATCCCTCCCGAGGCTGCAGGGTGGTACCTATGTAGCTGGTCTTGCCTCCCGGGGCACAGCACATATCCAGGATGCGTTCATTCTCCTGTGGAGCCAGAGCCATGACAGGGAGGAGACTGGAGGCTCCTTGCAGCATGTAGTGCCCAGCCAGGTACTCAGGGGTGGCACCTGGGCAGGGAAGGCAGAACAAAAGATGACATGTGAAAGAAAGGGGGAGCCAAGAGGCGGGTCAGCTCAGCCCTACAACAGGAAGGGTGGTCTCACCGATGGGCACAGAGGAGTCATAAATAACAAGTCCCGTTTTCGACCACTTCCCTAAGGGGTCGAGATTCACACCACGGTTGATTAGAGCCTGCAAGACAAGGAGATGGGACTGAGACACTGCCCCGTGTGACAGGCAGCGCAGGAGACAACCACAGGTTCCTGCTCACTTGTGCCAGGTCCCGTCGCCGGGTCTTGAGTGTGTTGGTGCGAATGGTCACAGGGCGGAGAACCTCATTGGCTTCCAGGAAGTTTATCAGCTGGATAAAAGAAGTGACAGAGAATAGAGATAAAAACAAAGCACAGGGGAGGCATCCAAATCCTCATCAGTCAGCAAAGCAGGGCAGGATCCTACCTCAGGGAGCGGGAAGATGTCCATGAGCTTTGTGAGCAAGAAGTCACTGTAGGAATAGTAGGCAGCCATGTCCCGGCGCAACAACGCGAGGTACTCCTGCCGCGTGCGTCCTTCCTCCCGCTTCACCACAAAGTCCTGCAGCACCTCCATGTTGCCCTTGATGCGCTGGTGAATGATGTGCAGGTCAGGCGGCTCAGCAGGTAGAAAGGCCATTAAGGAATCATGAACAGCCAAGAAACTCGCACGCAGGCTCTTTACAAGTGCAGCTGGTCACGCAGGACTCCTGCATCACAACAGCACCCGCACCGGAAAGGCCTTGCTGGAACCAGAGCTCAGCAGAGGGGGGTTCAAAGGATAGAACTGGACAAAAAAAGGTCACAAGGCAAGAACTTCCAGGTGTTTAAAAGAATGCTGTTAGTTACTTTAGATAAACAGAAAAAGCTAGAAAAAAAACAACAAAAAAGCTTTTTAAAACTGAAAACATTACCTGTAACAGAAGTTGTTCCCCAGGAGGAAGTAAGGGGGTACAGAAGAGAATGAGAAGAGGCAGGATTAAATTGTACTGAGGGGCAGGAAATCAAAATCACCAAAGCCGAAAAGCAAGCACTTTAGATACCGGAATTGCTCTAGGAATGGGTTAGATAAACACCTGCCAGGAAAATCAGGGTACAGAGGAACGAACTACACAATAAGATATCCACACGCATTTAGGACTAGAAAGGAAATTGGGGCAGGCTCCAAGCTCCATACAGGGCGTAACAGATTTCTTAATGGTGCTGTACCAAAGTGCAGCGTTGGATACCCTCTATTAGGGCAGCTCATCTAAAAATACCTTGTTAGGCACAAACCAATCTCGCTAAGCAATACTCATGACAGAGTCCAAACGAAGCTCTTCAGCTGTATCCAGGCCCCATGCTGCTGCAGGCGCGTGGGTGCCACGGATAGAAAGGATATCCTCTCTCTCAATCTGTTCATCAGTCGGCAGTTTAAATTGTTCATCTATATCTAGGTTGAGCTGCAGATCCGGGCTCTCTTCCTCCTTCTGTCCTGTTTTCTGCCCGCTTGCCTCCTCCTCCTCCTCCTCCGCCGACTCCTCTTCGCTGTCATCTTCACTGAGGCCTCCCCTAAGGACAACAAACAGAGTGGGTGTTTTACACGAGAGCAGTAGCACACAGGCGCTTCACAACCACCATTTCTTAGATGGCAGGGAGGACAGAAGAACCAACAATGCAGGCTCCTCATCTAACCAGGAAAGACTCTGCAGACTGGGCGACGTTCTTAAATCCTCACCTGTCAGACTTCTGCTTCAAGGCAGCTTTTTCAATGGGCAGCAACTAAACAGAGACAAAAGATTAATGAAACAATATCCCCAGGTGCCCCCTCACTTCCTGCCATCTGTGAAATTTACCCGCTCTGTTTAAGAAGGACAGCAAACAAAAGCACCGAACGTTACGCTGGCATCAGTTACTAACCTTGAAATTGTTCTTGTGAAGGGAAGAAGGGGAAAGCTCTCCACCACCCCACCATCCACCCCCCAGTAAAGTCACCCTTTTTCCCCGGGCCTGATAGGTCTTTTCAGCCAGCAAAATCAAGTATTTCTTGCGTAATTAAGGGCAAAAAGCTCCTACCTCTTCTTCCTCTGATGATAGGGCACCGTAATCGTCCACCATCTCCTCACTGCTCCCATCCTCCTCCTCCTCCATCTCCCAGCTGCCCTCTTCCACCTCACCATCGCTGGATAGCTCTACGGTGTTTCCTTTAGATGGGATTTTCTTGGCTTTGGCCGGAGCCAGCCATTTTGAATTGCTATCACTGAAGCCAGATCGGCCACGAGGGGTTTGTCCTGCTGCCTTCACAGCATGTTTCTCCTTCTGCGGGGACACCTGCTCCTTAACTACAGGCAGAAGAAGCGGTTAAGTTAGGCAGTGTTCTCAAAAGCAGGTGCCCTATCTTTTTTAGTTGTTACACAAAAGAGGCCTTCATCCTGAGCCGCCTGCCCGCGAGAAGGGACTGCTTGCTCTCCACATCGGTTTTCTCAGTCATAAACACAGGCATCTTCTCACCTCTACCCAATGAAACTTTAAAGGAGACCGAACTAGAATTACCAAAGAAAAACACAGCTACAGAATTCTTACAGTATTCACTCTGACGTGTTACGGTACCCTCCTTCCCAAATCTTTGTCCATCCTTCCTTCTGTGACAGCTTCCTACGCTACGCAGGATGCAAGGCAGCGAGCTTAAACGCCTCTGCCGCCCCCCCTGCCCGCCACAGCCCCGCTGGGTCCGGAGGGTAGGTCAGGGACGGCCTTAACACGCGGGAGGGAGACCTTTTACTGGTTTGGTCTTCAGGCAGCGCTGCCGGCCAGCACAGCAGGGGCCAAGCCAGGAAAAATCCGCTTAAAGCAACGAAATCCCATCCGTCCTGTGCCACAGAAGAGAGGCCGGAGCCGGATGGTGGCGGGGGGGGGT